ATCTATCTATCTATCTATCTATCTATCTATCTATCTATCTATCATCTATCTATCTATCTATCTATCTATCTATCTATCTATCTATCTATCATCTCTCTCTATCTCTCTATCATCTATCTCTCTATCTCTCTATCATCTCTCTATCTCTCTATCTATATACTATTTCAGAAATTCATTGATTTTCCACTTCGTGACGTCTATCATGAACCTTTGCTGGAGAACTGTAATCTCAAGAACTTCAGGGGCTGTGCAAAAGGATTCATGGGCAGGCAGAAGCTTCTATCTAATGCTCTCTTTCTTGTTGTTTTTTTATTTCTATGAAGGTTTTATATTACATGAAATATAATAGTACAGGCAAAGCATTTATATATAAACAAGATTAGTTGTAAGAGTTCAAATTTTTACTGATAGGAAGGTGCGGCTGAAAAATGAATAGATTACCAATTGAGAGGACATTGCTTATTAAATTTAAGTCCTAGCTCTCCTCTTCTTAAATTAGAGAGGTTAAAAATAAAGCAAAATTAAAAACCTCACTGTCAGAGGATCGATTCGGATTCCTGCTGAACCCAGAGGGCGGGGTTGAATTGCATCTGTGGGCTTCCAATGCTGAAATGCTTTATGGGAGTAGAAAGTCTTGCCTTGTACCCATGGAGTGACTGGTGGTTTAGAACTGCTGACCTTGCAGTTAGCAGTCCAACAAGTAACCACTACACCACCAGGGCCCCTAAATTAGAGAGAGACAGTCATAAGAAAATTCAATTAAGAGGAGTCTGCCGCTGACTGGAAATTTGGGGGTTGATAATGGTGACAAATAATATTTGCCTACTCTTTGCTGATAACCTTCACCCCTGCTTCATTTGGTCCTGCCAGCAGTTCTGGGAGATAGATAGAACAGGTAGCTGAGTGGAACCTGATCGGTATGAGAGGTATGTGAATAGAAATCGATAGGTACAGAAGGTCTTGGAATGGAAATCTCAGAAAGCAGATGCGTTAACCAACTTCTCAGATAACTTATGAGACTTGCCCACGGGCCCTTAGCTAGTCAGTGGTGGAGCTGGTCTTTATAACCTTTGCTGCTGACCACAAATGATGTGCTTGTCTCACTGGACCTCAGGGACAAGTCGGTCAGAGTGGGCTGTCTGTGGCCCCACTGCTGCAGTGACTGGTGCCTATCGCCATCTCCCCTGCCCCACCCCAGGATTTCAAGTTATTGAAACCCTAGCTGAGCCAAACATAGGGCTAGCAAACATATAGTTTACCTTCTTGATCAGAGGGCCAGGAAGCTGAGCTAACAATTCAGCATTAGCTCCCTCCTGTTGGTACTGTAATGCCAACATATTTCAAAACAGATAGAGGTCCCTGGAAGGTTTTAGATACATCTATGTACAGAAAATATTTATGGCAGGTTATTAAATGGGAGTTCTGAGACTGGCTTCTCGGGAAGTGCCAACCACCCTTTCTCCAAAATTTCCCCTGGGACTACTGTCAAAGCAAAGGACTCACCCAGAGAGATCATTGTTCTGACCCCAAATGACACTTCCAACTTTTCTTATCTATAATCCAATTTCTGACCTACCTTTTCAGTGACATTAAGTAGAATAGCATCAAAAAGTCTTTGGGCATTAAAGATACTAAAGGTGTGCCACATTGCTCAGGTGTCTCCCTCCGCTCTTTGCCAGTGCATTAGTTGTATTGATTTTAGAATTTTAAATGACCCTTTTTACCAGACTCGATGAATCTCTCCTCACTCGGTCTTGCCTGCCTGCTCTTTCGCTCTCCCAGCGCAATCTTCGTCCCTCTGTGCTCTCCCAAGTTAGAGGCTGACCTTCACGGGACCCAGGGGCAGGAAACGTTGTCAGGAGTGCCCTTGGGCCTGGTGATTAGCCTTTCAAGACGGAGCCTGTCCTGGAAGGGACAAGTCTTAGGTACATTGTCAATGGCCTTTTTGTTGGGTCCTGACCCTGGAAGCACTCATAGGGGAACCTTCTGGTTAGGTAAGTCCCAGACGGTTCTACTCGGCTTCCAAAGGAGCTTTTGGCTAAGTAGAGGGTGTGAAGGAGAAGTGGGTACTCTAGCAAGGGATGGTGAATGCAGCCCACATGGGTCAATGTTGTAGGTTCCATCTAACTAATTAACGCTGCCCTTACTATCATCAGAGAAGGCTTCGTTTAAATTTCTGTTCACGTATTATTTTTCTCTGTCTCTGCAAATGAGCTGTGTGATCCCGGAGTCCTGCCCTGTCTGGCACATCTTTGCAGGCCTCGCTCTGGTGTCTAGCAGAGGGGTGGTTCGTGAAGGTGATGATCCTTCCGTTGTCCTTTAGTCCAAAAAATGGATGGGTGGGAGGTTGCCCATCTTTTCCCTGGAGATGACCACTCCTTAACTGGATTGATTCCATTCGTTGACTGTCTTTTTCTTTTCATTGTACTTCAAATGTAAATTGATTGTACGTTTTAAGAGTAAGATTGTTATGCCCCAACAAATTTGGATATTTTAGGCATAAAAATCATCCTTTCCTTGCTATATTAATACATCTACTTTTGGCATTAAAAATTAATCAGTGTTTTTTTATTTTCATGTTTGCTATTGTTCGAATGATTGTGTGCTAGAATGTTATGCTTTAAATGTAGCATTCTAAGCATTTTTTCTTTTGTTCAATAATTCTCATAAGTGTTCATGGGATTCCATAATTTATTTCACTACTTGTCTACTCTTATCTATTGTATACACCAGGAATAGTTTCCACATGTTGCCTGTGAGCTGGACTATAACTCATGTCCTCATTGTTAGCTAAGACTGCCCATACGGTCACACAGTGTTGAGGAAGCGAAGGCTAAGTGACTTTGGGCTGAGGAATTCTGTCAACTTGGATTTAGTTTATTATGCCCTGACACAGCACCCAGATGGTACACAATAAATGGTAGATTTCTTCCTTCTTCTCTTTCCCCTTCCTTTACCAACCGAGGGTCAATTTTGGTACTGTGTGAGAGCATCATTTATATCTAATAGAGAGATTTCCAACCACTTAATATGAAATTAACCCCTACCCTTTTAGGTCCTAATTGTAGAAGTTTCTAGTGTTATGATTCTTGACGTTAAATTTTCTCTATTCTGTTTTGTCAGGAATAATTTTTTTTTCTTGTCCAACACATAATGTTAGAGCTACAAAGGACTCTGGGAATTGCCTTATCTAGTGGCCTCCAAATTTGTGCACGGCAGAATTTCTCAGGGTTCTTAAAAATACTAGTCTTACTCAATCCCGATCTTTTGGGAGAGAGCTGGGAATATTTGTTTTGAGTGTTCCTGTGTTCAGACTCAGGAGGTAGAAGAACCATGATTTGCTGCTACGACTTGAGTAGTAGACCTTGGTCAAGTTTTAGAGCTGTTAGATTTCTCATCATGTTCAATTTTTTTTTGCTTTTAAATCTAACTGAATCTTGAGATGACTCATAACAGGAAAATATTACAATCACAATTATGTTCTCCAACAGGAAATCAGCACTAAATGAATCTTAACATTGTACTTGACACATTACTATGTTTAAGTGTCTTAAAGATGTCATTGAAAGGTGCAGGGGAGGAAAATGAACTTGATTTGGCAGGTAGGCGTTCATGGTACTATTATCCACAACTGTCTACTCTGATTGACAGCACACACATTACCTTTAAACAGGTAGTGTACTCAGTTGCATGCACTTTGTGTGTGTGGCATTTTTACTGAATATATGAAACTATTTCAGATAAGAGTCTTAATCGTGCATAGACCAACTTTCAGTAAGTGTTTCAAAGTGCCTAATGGACAACAAACCAAAATGTTGCTCAAATATTTTATATATATATATTAAATATATATATATATATATATATAGTGAATAAGGCAAACATTTAATAATATGGGGAAGGAGTTGTCCCCATGTTTTGTAGACTTATGGAAACTGAGTTCAGACTGGGGAAGTGCTCAAGGTCGCTGAGCACTTAGGAGCAAGGTCCGAATTGGAGCTTCTGTCTCCAGGGTTCTTGTTCGCTCTCCCTCGGCTTTTTCTATCCTACCATGATTAAAGTCTTGTAGAGCTGTTATATTGCATATTTATATGCAAAGAATGTTAAGCAAGGAGTTTTACTCAATATTTTTCTTTTGGAAAGCCAGACATGCTTTATTTCATTTTTTCCACAATTTATTTAAACATCTCACATATACAAAATAGGTACAGTTTTTTTTTTTGCTTGTTTGGGACCATGGGAGAAGAGGAGAATGAGATTGGCAAAAGAACAAATGCTGGATTTAAAGAAGAGGACGACGTTGGGCAAAGGATCCACATACTTTTCATTGGGGAGAAGATGGATAACATTGATGCCAAATCAAATGGGAAAAATACAACAATGATACAACTCAACGCAGAGAATATTTCCTCTCCGATTCTTCTAGCACCACCAACATTCTTCAAGTATCTGAAATACTATTAATTAGCACCTTTGCTTTATGAACAAAATAAAACAAGTACCTCTGTTCGTCTCTGTCTAGATCAGCACCTAATGATGTGGATCACACTTGCAGGAAAAGTGTTTTGAGGTAGTTTAAACCTTTGGAAGTTTGGGTTTTAAACTTCCCTCTGTGGAAGATATTCAGAAGCCACAAGTGGTGCAATGTTCATGGTTTTTATTTGATTTAAAAAATGTTCATTTTGGTTTTCTTACAAAGAATGTTGAAAAATTTCCAAATCATTTGGGGAGGGGGCAGGGGGAGGAAATTTACTAAATCATATTGCACAATGCTCTGATCAATCCTTCTTCTCTTTGTGCCCACAATTTAAGCAAGAAGATAAGAAGATGTGCAGAAGAAATGGAAGGATTCAGCTTTCAGTTAAAAAGAAGAAATGGCAAAGAGAGAAAGGATTTTTTCCCCCGATTTTTGTTGTTGTTGTTTAATTTAGTTCGAGTTCATTTATTTGAAACAGGCTGGGCCTATGTCCACAATGAGTTCTTGGTCAGCGCCACCGATGTCCAAAGGTGCAATGTCAAGGATGGGCAGGCGAGATGGCTTATTTGTTTTATATTCGATGATTGTCTTTCCCCATTCATTTGTCTTTCTCTGTTGACGAGAGAAGAGAAGCAATACATAAAGCAGCTCCCATTCTAAATGTAACCACAACCGAGGCCTGTATTTTGAAAGCATCACTTTTTGGCCTGCCGGTGTCAGTCTGAAGACGTGTCTCAGATTAACTGGCTCATCTTGGAAGCTGAGGCATTCAGGGTATCTTTAGGGGGAAGGTTTTCTACCCACCCTGATGGCTTAAAAAATGTTTCCATACACATGCCAAGTGATTTATTTCTGAACCATAATTCCCATGATGGATATGTGTATGAGTGTATGAAATGGAGTTGGGTGGGTAGGGTAGCATTGCTATTAGTGAACTTTAATTTCTTTTCAATTTAAAATATATTATGGAGAAAGCATAAAGAAGCAATTAATTTAGGCCATAATGGTAAGTGGGGGAGAACTCACATGACTATAAATTATAGCTTGGGTCCTTTTAACCTTACGTAATTTAAAATGATGAGTTTGTGTCATTACTTAGAAACTCATGTTAAAAATAACTAAGGCACGCACATGGTATAGATGAGAGGGGTTCAAAAAAGCTCATGGAAAATGGAATGAAAAGATCATGGAAATTCTCCATGGTGCTTTTGAAGCACCCTTGTATAAAATTGTGTTTCGGAAGGCAAGGTCTGGCATGAATACTCTGGATTTACTGTCAAAATTTAAATGAAAATATTTATGGACAAAAATCTAAAGATGTTAGGTCTCCCATTCAGTAGTTCACTGTGTGGTCATGCTAGAACCCTTGCCGGCCCTGCTTTCCAAGAAAAATACCTTTCCTGTAGATCACCAATACTTACGGAGCAGCCATCTGCAAGAACAGTGTAAGTGAACCTGCTGTTTCCCTCAGCCACAAGTTCAACATCATTAGAACCCTGAAGAATGAGGGCCTTTTTCAGGTTGCCAGTCTCCTCATCCATGTATGCGATGCTGTTCTTGCAGTGGTAGGTGATGTTTTGCGAAGCATGGTTGGCTAGCAGGCGCATGAAGGCCAGTTGTGTAGCCATCTCTTTGGAGCTTATTCCTTCTTCGTTATATTCAATCTAGGGTGAAAACCACGGGAGTTCCAGTGGAGTGAAGAAAGATTTAGGCATTGATCAGATCCTAAGAGTCATATTGAAAAAGACAGCCCTTTAGTGCTGCACTTACAATCTGGCATAAACAAACTAACAAACCCATCGCCAGTGAGTTTATCCTGACTCATATTGACCCGAGAAAGTGTTTCCAAGACTTTAAATCATTACAGGAGACAGGTGGGACCGACACATTTAGATCTGAACCTTAGGGAAATGATCCGTTTTTAAGGAATTGTAATCCACTTGTCTTTGAGGCATAGATTACCTAGAATGAACATAAAATTATCGATGCCATCTGAAGCAAGGGGAGAGAGAGAGAGAGAGAGAGAGAGAGAGAGAGCATGAGAGAGAGAGCACGAGAGAGGCGTGCGGGCGCACATGCACACGTGTTTCTTCTTCAGACTAACAGAGGGGGGGGTTGGGGGTAGGAATCCTGACCTCCTCACTTTTCTATAACTCAAGAAAGTTGGTGAGCGTGATTGACTGAACATTTAGAAAAGCTGCTCGTGTTCTGAAAATGCATATATTCATGCGTGCGGGCCTATTGCCTGGTCGAGAGTCCTTCATATCGAATAACATTAATTTCTCCAATGATGATCAATACAGTCAAATTTGAATAACAATTTTGAGTTATATGGATGTATCCAACCAATCTATCCTTCGATGTGCAATTTAAAGGGCAGAATTAGAAACCGCGAAATGAACAAGTCTGTTTCACAAGCCCATTTTGGTAAATGATTATGCTGCAGTTAATTAAAATGTAAACAGTCCTAATAGAATCGTCTTTGGTGGAAGAAGGAATATTTGTAAGACTACTCACCTGGCTACCCCCGTTGATCGTTTCTCCCACCCAGACGTGCTTCTTGACCTTAGAGTTCTGGAACCAGTTCTTGACTGGGATGCTTTCAGGCTGGGCCCGGATGCAAGTTTCACCAGTAGAGAAGTCACAGTACACTTTGATAGCATCCATAGTGCAGCCTTGGTTGGGATCAATCCAGTAGTAACCTTTGAAGAAAATAAGACCCATGTGATAAAAGCTCTCGCTGAGCAGCGGTGACTCTCACTGACCCCCGGCCCCTAGAGGATATGGCCTATAGGTATTCCTATCCAGAGATTGACTCCAATAAGTGTCCTTTTTGGTTGCATGGTTATATTACCTATCCTGCCTGCCCCTTTAACAGGAAGAACGTGGCTCTTTCCAAAATTGGACCGTTTCCTTCCTCCCCCAATCAGGGCCGAGGTTACCATAGCCAGGGCCAAAAAAATGAGATGTAAGAAAGGCCTACCATGTGTTCTGGGTGGAGGAAATTAACTGTGGTTCATTAAGTATAAATGCTTTTGTATAAGGTGATCTTTATCCAAATACTTTTTTGACGCGAAAACAACATACTGAGAAGGTGCTCTCAGCAGGAGCTGATCTTGAACAGGCCGAGTCAGGAGGAAGGTCCTCAACCTACCACTGCTCCACTCGGGGTGGCTGAGTCTCAAGTCACGGCAAGTGCGAGCTGGGTTCTTCTTTGAGCCTTCAGGGGTGAGGAGGGTCTCAATCTGGTTGTTGAGGGATTTCAGAGTAGCGTCAACTTCATGGTCCTTGGCTCTGAGAGAAGGCTGTGAGCGAGGCTGGTCGGCCCGGTAGAAGTCTCCGTCATAACCAAAGTCATAGCCGCCGCCGCTTACACCAGGTGGTCCAGGAGGACCAGGGGGACCGGGAGGACCCTACAGTGATACAAGGGAGAAAGGGGAGGCTTTTTCTTTCTCACAGTGACAGGCATCATTGACAGCTGACTTGCCACCCAGCTGCGTACACAAGCATGTCCTAATAAGTCAAAAAGAATCAAGTGCATACAAATAAGTAACTTATTCCTGGCTACTGATTTAAAAGAGCCATTGCCTATAGAGGATTTTTACATGGTTTAAAACACATGCTAAAATGGGACTGTTTTAATATGCTTTCATGGTGGTCTAGCTTTAGTCCGAAGGTGAGTGATGCCCTTTTATTTCCCAGTCTCATACTTACACTTGGACCTTGGCTACCTTGAGACCCTCGGACACCAGCAGGCCCAACCGCACCGGGATGTCCACTGCGACCATCTTTGCCAGCAGGGCCAGAGGGGCCAGCAGGGCCCTGTGGAAGAAGGACATCACGTCTGGGATTTAGCAAAAACACCCAGGAGGGAAGAGAGACTGCCCCACCGCAACCTCGTTTTCAGAAATACATTGTCTCTTAAATCGACCTACCCGAGGACCAGCAGGACCCACGGTGCCAGGAGAGCCTTGATCACCATGTTGACCCTTGCAGGAAAAACAAGGAAAATCGCGTCTTCAGAACACGTGTCAGCATGCAGCTTTCTCCCCATATTGAATAGCAAAACTTTCGTTTTCAATGGACTCTCGCTTGAGAAAATTGAAAATGTAAAGTGGGGCTCTTGGCTCCCATTATATCTATTATATCCAATTTTCCCCCACAAGCTATTTCAGCAGTGTCCTATTAGTCATTCTTCTAATTATATTTATTTAAAGTGGGATTGAAGGACATTGTTGCCTGGAGACTTTAATATATGTATAGCTCCATCTCCCTTCACCCCCATCGTTTCATGTTGGGGTGAAATAGCAGCACTGTCTCTGAGAGATGAAATTAACTAGTGAATGGATAATGGATATAATGTATGATTACTTAGAACTATGACAGTGAAAATTTGGGGGATATAATTCTGAGTCGAAAGCCATTAAAAGAGGTCTACGTGCTGATGACCACACTTTACTTACCGCCAGACCGGGCAGACCCTGCAATCCATTGTGCCCCTTAAAACCAGTAAGACCCCTGGGCCCCTTTTCACCAGCCTCTCCCTTGTCGCCGCGAGGACCTTGTGGGCCCTAGAAAGAAAGAGAAGGAGCATCAGAACACGAATTTCTTTTTCTTTTAAAAGATACGCTCTTCTCTGTCGATACTGCTTAACCTCTTTAGGAACGGATATCAAGATGCTCAAAGTCAGGAGGGGGCTCCCCCTATCTTTCAAGCTCTTCCCTTAAGCGGCATTCGTGGTCCTGTCTGCAAAGCGCGCAGGTGTTTGTGACTCTTTAACATAATTAAACACAAAAGACAAACTATCAAGCTCTCTGGCAATTTTCAACACGGACTAACGTTTTTTACAAAGTATAAAGTTCACAGGACACGCTACTCATTTTATGAATGGACAATCTGAACTCCTTGTCCTTAAAAATTATTTCATCAAGAAAGCATCACCGTATACGTACACTCGGACCTCTTGGACCAACAGCCCCGACAGGACCGACAGAACCAGCAGGGCCCTGTGAATTGGAAAAGAAAAAACACAATCATCCTCCAACATTCCCCATCACCCTTGGCCCCGAAAGCCCCTAAGTGTGGGGAGGGGTAAGAATTTATGGCCAAGAAGATAATAAATTCCAAGGGACTTGGATTTACAAACTTACAGGTTCACCACGGTTTCCATATTTGCCAGCGGGGCCCACGGAACCGTGAGGACCAGGAGCACCTGCGTTGCCAACGGGGCCAGCATTGCCAGGGTAACCACGCTCTCCCTGCCAAAGGCAGAATGAAACTTAGCCTGGGTCTGCTCTGATTTTTAGTGACCTCTAAATTAGAGAGATGAAGAGGTGACCGACCTTGTGTCCAGGGAGACCATCACGGCCTGGGGGACCGTCACTGCCGGGGTTGCCCTGTGAAGACACCAAGCACAGTCAGGTCCATAACAAGGGCCACCTCTTCACCAGCTCCCGAGTTTTCGTGCCCTTGCCTCCATCTCTGCCAGTCTTCAATAGTGGAGACACTTTCAGGCTACTCGAAACTAGAACAAAAACTTCCTCAAGTAGATTTTTGGAGAGGTGTTTTAAAAAAATATTTTTGGCTCAACTTGGAAGCATGCTAGTCAAAGATTCATTCCTCAGCCCGAGAAAGCTTGCCTATTTTTATTACTAGGAGTGGTCAATACGTGTAGCTATGTAGAAACAGACCATGCAGTTCCGAGACTACTTGGAATGAAAGAATCCCAGGACATCAGGTGACACCCCTGTGGAAGACTGCTCTATTTGGTTTCATAGACCCCATGTTGGACTCACATCACGACCGGCTTCACCAGGAGCACCATTGACACCAGGGTTACCCACAGCACCAGGAGGACCTCGGGCACCAGGAGGGCCAGAGATACCGAGAGGACCAGGTTCACCCTGAAGAGACAGAGAAGGTAAAATGATGTTTATCTCCTGGATGGAGTGCGAATCCCACCCCACCCAGAAGATTAAGCCACAGTAAATACAATATGAATGGGTTGCAAAATGAAAAGCCTGATTAGTGACCCCTACTCCCAACCCAGACAGTTGGATGGTCAGCTTCATGCTCTGTAGAAGGTGAGCCTGGTTTCCCTCATATCTCAATTAAAATGAATCCACGCGGGTGATAGAGGTGATGGAGATGAGACGGCTCCTAGTTGCTGGCATGTATACGGTTTCATGGAATGACTCAGAACTTTCAGCGTTTCCTTCTTCCCACAGGATAAATGATGCCAGTGTCTCGTATTGCAGAGGAGTGCGTACAATTAGAGCTCATGTCATTCTTAGGCATGTGAAAAGAACAAAATCATTCTGCATAATGTTGAGCTGTGTCTTTATAGAGTGTGTCTAAGTAAGGTAGTATTAAAGCTTCTTAGATAAGTGACATGTGATCTGTATAAAGAAAATGTGATGAATAAAAAAAAAATCTTAAGTGAAGTTATTCAGGGATCAATCTGTCACCTTTGAAGTGGCAGCTTTTAAATTCTTTTATTATGGTAATGGGACTCAGAAGGGTGTCAAACACTCACCAAGGATCCAGCAACACCTGGTAGACCACGTTCACCTCGAGAGCCTGGGAGACCCAGGATACCAGGAGGACCGAGAATACCCTGAGGTCCTGGGGTGCCAGGAGGTCCCTGAGCAAGAGGAAAGAGTACTGAATGGTATTGGTAAGACTAGGCAACAACAAGGCTGGCTCGAGGGTTGCGAGCCTGAGCTGTCCTCCTGTAGGACATGCTAGTGGCCTCCAATTAGACCCCCTTGGCTATCTTTTCTCTGGGGATAACAGTGAACTTACATCTTGGCATGCATATTTTTAACTTGGTCCCTCCTTGAGACCAATGGTACAAAATTTAAAATTATGTGGTGGAGTGGAGTTTTGATCGTACTTGTTTTGACTGTGATCTCAAACTGAACCGGGGCAAATAAAGATACGTTTCAAAGTAGCAAAAACACTAGGTAATGCATGTTAGAGGAATTGCCAACTTGTGGAGACTGATGGCCACGGGGTCCGGTTTTACTGCCAGCACCAGTAAGGTGCCATCACCCGTGGAAAGGCCCATCTCATTAGAGCTGTGAACCCTCTCAGGTCTTGTTCTGCTCATCTAGTGCATGCCGGGCCTCTGCCAAAGCTAGGCCAGCATGCTCTCTCTCTGCTGGGCGGGCTTTCCGGCTCAACTGAGTCCACCTGGGAACTCGCTACCTGAAGACTTGGGTGAGGACATCAGTTTACTTCAACATAAGATAGTAAGATAAAGAGGAGTTTGAAATCACTTACAGCAGTACCAGGCTCTCCAGAGGGACCTTTCTCACCAGTAAAGCCAGTGGGGCCAGATGCACCTGTTTCTCCAGTTCGGCCAACTGGACCTTGGTCGCCACGAGGCCCCCGAAGACCTTCTTTACCAGCAGCACCCGGGGGTCCAGGAGGGCCAGTAATACCCTGTGAGCAAACCAGCAAGGTCATGGATGCTCCGTGAGTCATCATGCACTTGGAGGAGAGCAGCAGATGCTCTAGAGAGTTTGCCGCCAACTGTATGATTCAATGCCATCATGTTCTGGCCATCTGGAGGCCATGCCGCCCCTTCCTGATACTCTTTCTTATAGACTTAGCCTGCCCTTCTGTGGCCTAAGGAGGAGATGACTGACGTAGAGTTTATGACAACTCTCTATGAAGAGAAGCCGTGTCTCCCCCCACCCCACCCCCCACTCCCCCATGGACACCCTGGTAGCCTGGAATCACAAGGATATAGAGTCACCGGTTGTAATTGAATGGGACTTCAGGTTTCGGAGGGAAGTCAATGTGGGTCGTTTGTTCCTCGCTAAGGAATCACATATGCTCTCAGCTAGGTTTAATTAAATGCCTACAGGGAATGAAGATTTCGGTGGTGTAAACCTGTGAAAGGATTCCAAGAAATCAACATCTTTGCTGTCATTTCCCTGAAACCTTAACTGGAAGACTTAATCCTGAGTAATTAATTAAATTCAGACAGGAGAGTCTGAATCAGAATTAAATTAGAGGCCAAACCACTTTGACATTCAGGAACAATTGTACTTAACAACAGAGGCACAATGTTGGCCACAGAGGGTAATCAGATATAGACATATCTGATACAGGACTAAAACTATCCTGATTTTTCACTTTTGACAAAGACCATGCCCTTAAAAAGGGAATGGTGTTTGTATGAATAAAAGCCTTTTAAATTGTTATTATAAATCTTTAGTACGTCAGAAAAACCTGATTGCAGACCAATAAAGTAGTTGCAAGTACTAATAATATGTTTTCCATAGAAAGTCCCTTACTGCTTTTATACCAGATGCCAGGGCTATTGGCTAAGGTAAATGGAGACATAGGTTGAAGCGTTTTACTTACAGAAGGTCCAGGAGGACCAGTCCTGCCAGCAGCACCAGGGAAACCGGTCATACCCTAAGAACCAAGCACATCAAAGGGCACAGTCAACACAAATGCCGAGGTTTCAGGAACATGGGATTTTCTCCGCGGGGAAATTCTCCATACTTGCAACCAGGAGCAGCTTCCTATAGGGTATCTTAAAACCAAAACTTGACGCTTCCTTTCTTTACAGATTCTAGACTAGTAAGTCCCTTTTGCAAAGCCCATGTTTTGCTAAGAACTTTGGTCCTTTTTGAAAGCTGGCATATTATCTGATGTTTGCCAGGGTAGGGTGCTGATGGGGTTGTTTTATTTACAGGGGAGGCATACAGAAGACCGAGAGCAGTCAGAGCTCGCTAATGAGAGAGAGCCAGAGAGATAGGAGATCTGCTGGCATAGTTGTTAAGTAGTCAGCTGCTAATCAAAGGGTCTAGGGGTTCAAAGCCACACACTGCTCTGTGGGAGCAAGATGTGGCAGTCTGCTTCTGTAAGGTTGGCAGCCTCAAAACCCTTGAAACGGGCGCAACAGCAACAGGTTTGGAGTTAGAAACAGAGTAGATGTCAGAAGTGGAGTCACCGGAACGTGCATAGGAGGTTGATGTGAGAGTGCTGGACACCAAAGGGAAGGATTTGTTTACTCAGAAGAAAGCGACGGAGGACCAACAAGAAGGAAAAGGGCATGAAAAGATCTCATTTCTTTCATATGTTGACAAACTGGGCTTAACTTTGGTGGTTACCAAATATTCAGCAGATATTATTCTATTAAATGAAGTGATAGGCACTGCACTGCACTCAATCCTGGGAGAAGCAAGCTAAAATCCTATGCCCTTGGCCTTACTTCAATATTAGAACTGGTCTGAAAAGAATGAACTTGAATCTCGTGAGTCTCCTTATCATAGTCTGGAGTCATCAAACATTTCAAAGCTTTGCCCCTGATGGATGTTGGAGAAACACAAGTGTTGAGAGTTCATTCTAAATACTCACAGGGGGGCCACCATCACCACGACTTCCAGCAGGACCAGGGGGGCCATTTGGACCCTACATGGAAACCAAACAACAGGGTCAATCACAAAACAACAACTTTATGTAAATGCTAAGTTGTTCTTCAAATTGATCATTCCTATACCTGTGGGAAGCAAATAAACTCATCTGTAAGTTAAAAAGATGATCTTTATCCCATAAAATGAATGTCATTTTCCCCGTGGGGTTATTGAAGAATGAAAGTAATATTTATGAAACAGTAATTGTAAAGCAGTATGCAAATGTTCATTCTTTTGGGGGTCATCTTTTATCGAATATATTCTCTGTCATACAGTAGACACTTGACTGATAGATGCTAGATTTGAAGATCTCCCGGGTAGCTGAAATAACCTTCAATGAATTCACCTAATTCAACTTACAGATGGGCCAGCAGAGCCGATGGGGCCAGTGGGGCCTACAGCACCATTTTCACCCTTTGGCCCTTTGGTTCCTCTCTCTCCCTTAGGACCCGCTTGACCAGCAGCACCCTGTTGGAAAGGAAGAGAGAGAATAGGGTGAATGCACTCAATTCTTCAGCTTAGGATGTTTTCAGATTAACCTTCATTAAATGATACTCACAGCAGGACCGGCAAATCCATTGGGACCAGCAGGACCAACTTCACCACGTTCACCCTAGGTGGGAGAAGCAGTTTACAGATGCCTCAGAAATGCTTATTGATGTCTACAAGTAGTGAATCATGAGTGTCCAAAATTATCCAAGTTTCTACTTACAGGGCTACCACGAGGGCCAGCAGGACCAGCAGGACCAGCAGCACCAGCTTCACCCTATAAAGGGACCAAAGAAAAGTATGTTCATGTGCCTAGATGCTCAGAGAGGTAGGGGAGACAGACAGAGAGAGAGAAAGAGAGGGAATGTTGGTAGAGAGAACTACTGTCAGAATTTGCAGGTGTCTCAGAAAAGAAGACTATTGCACATCTCACAGAGTAAAATGAAATGGATTCTTAAGCTATATTCATTTTGGGGGTTGAAGCAGTATTGCTTCTACACTTGAAAAAACTCTATAAATTCATGTCCACAATACCAGGAAGAGGGCGTTTTAATTTTCAGATGGACACAGGGCTGATCTATTTGCTGCAATCTTTTCAATACAATAAATACAGTCTATTTAAGTGAACTGCTTGATGTGAAATGGGCACACTATGTATTTTATGGATTTTCTTTTTTAACAATTGAAGGCTTTGAGAAGGCTCACTACATTAAGATATTGTTAATGGGCAACAGAGAAAGACTTTGAAACAAATGATAAGGATTAAGATATAAATCTGATGAGTGGTACATCCCTAGGACGGGAAGAAGACCTTAGACAGGCAGAATTTGTCTCCTGCTGTCCCATCAGCAGCAATGAGGTTTTTAAATAAGTGGGCTTTATAACAAGCCATAAAAATGAACTGCTGGGGGCCTAGGGAACTAGGGGAGGCAGGGACTTTTAGATATTGTTATTGGTACAGGGAGCGGCAGCTTGGAGGAAATGAATGCTTACCCGATCTCCGGTGGCTCCAGCAGGACCTGGGGCACCTACAGCACCAGGAGCACCCTAGTACCAAAAAAAGGAAACACGTTTTACTGATCCTACCCAGCACGCCATCAGAAGTCACATTCTCAGGCCCCTCCCTGAGCTCAGACAGTGGCTGATCCCTTTGATGGGACTCTGGTCAGATAGCAAGAAAGCCCAGATGGCTTTTAGCTCTAATGCTCAAGACTGCTCTCTCGAGGAGGGCGCCTGAGAGCTAGTTAAGGACTGGGATTATCTAAACTCTCTGTTTTGTGACGTTCTCTGGCGGGCAGCAAAGAGCAGCCTGGTTTAGGATTTAGCATGAGCAGATTCCCTGGAAGGGCTATTAGGGTTAGGCCACAGTGAATGGTCAGAAACAGTGGTCTGCGTGGGAACAGCTCTGTGGGAGAGGTAGGAGGAAAGAACCAAGGCAGCCTAGCCTGTGCCATAGCGGAGCCATGACACCAGCACTGCATGTGGGACCATTACAGTTCGGGGCTAACTATGGGATCTTGGGACGATCTGAAGTGCAGGGCCGACCAGGTACTCTGCAGGAGACCGATATGGCTGGCTGCTTCTGTAGAGATTTACAGCCTTGGGGATCCTCTGGGGCACATCTATTCTGACAGGTGCCGTAGCTACTAAACCAAGAGCTTGTGTTCTGCAGCTTGTATTTGGTGTAGTTAACACTAAGATATAAGATCGTGCTTTTCAACAGAATCACTTCTATTGAGTTGTCATTGTGGGAGACCTCAAAAAGGGACCCAGACTTCAGCTCTGGACCCAGAAAGGAATGTGATACAATTTTACTATGCTTGAAACCTTCTTGTGTCAGTTCTAGTTCGGTAAATTTCTCAAATTAAATTGAGTGAAATGTAGAAAAGGTCATCTAAATACCAGCCACAATATATATATATAATACTGTTTTTACTCACACGAGCACCATCTCTGCCAGTGTTACCAATTTCACCCCTGAGACCAGTTTCACCCTGAAAGTAGAAAGCAAGAACAATATTTTGTTTTCTAACCAAAATTCGGAATAATAGATCATCTAAAGTGCTTCTACAGAAGATACTATATGATCTCCCATCATTCAAACCCTTAGTCATCTTGATATGCCCTGACACTCTAGATTATGTTGAATAGAAACATAAGAAGAAGAGGAAGAAGAAGAAGACAATGATGAGGAGAAGGTCTTTTCCATTTGATTACAGAACATTCAACAAAAATTTCCACTCACTCTTCTGAAGCCTAATCGAGCAAGGTACAAATTCATGTGGACAGAATTACAGGGCACCACTACAATGGGGCGCAGAGCCTGATCACTCTTAGGGCATAAGTGATGCAGCGGCACGGTTGACAGCTGTTCAGTAGAGTTTCTTCCCATTAATTAGGGCAGGATGAGGCATTATTGTTGGTGGCATTAAAATGAGCCTCATGTATTACTCAACACCATCTGTTTGCATGAAATTCCATGGCAGCAAGGAATTTTGCCAGATTAGTGAGTTTAGAAATGCGTAGGTGCTTGGTGGCAAAGGGAAATATATTTAGATAAATATCAAAATGCTGCCATGCCACCTGCCAAGAGTGACAAATCTCCAGACCATCCTTGTGCCGACTTTTTCGCTAGAGTTCATCGACCCTGTGCACTTAGGGTCGAAGGTACCTTTTCCCCCTTTCCTCCAGGTACGCCTGCAGCACCCCTTTCTCCAGGGAGTCCACCAGGGCCAGACGCGCCGGCAGTGCCTGGAGCACCGACTACACCGGGTTCACCCTGGAAGCAAACACATGTGAAATCAATTATTTCAGTGGCAAAAGAAGAAAATGAAGAAGCCAATACTCCGAGGAAAGCCAATTTAGACATTGAATAGGTAGCATTCTTGCCTGCCTGGAGACACAAAGGCGAGTGTTGAAAAGAGGGAGAATATACCAGAGCGAGTTCCTATTAACGACCAGGTGGTTAAAGAACAGAAGGGAGCAGGAGTGATAATGACGGTGCTTCTGCAATCACTTGCTCCTGCTCTTCAGTAAGACAAGCGAGGAGAAGAGGAGGCCCGGACAATGCGTGGGAAGAATGAAAAACGTTTGCTCACAAACATTTCTCAAGGCTGTCTCTTAGCCTAGACATGAAGCCCGGGAAGAGAGGCCTCATCAGTGGAAGAAATGCATGCACCGTAATCTCTTGAGAGACTGGGTCTTCCATCTTAATCTAAAACCACACAAGTGCAAGTACTTCAAACCTGTGGTTGAGCTATGTCCCACTGAAAGCTCGTCTACGGCTTCACAGAACCGTGTTTTCTTTCTCCTTTCCTCTTTCCCTCTTTACAGTTTTAATCACACACCCCTCCAATCATATCCTTCTGTGTACTAAAATAGATGTTTTTGCAGTGAATTTTTACATTTTTATTCCTCCCTGGAGGTGAGAATCGGAGGTGGTGTAAGCTGCCCTCTCTTTGTGGTTGTAATCTCTTTACTGGAAATAAAATGTCATCTATTTTCAAATCGGAACCATAGATGCTATCCAGGAACACAAGTTTTCAGACTTCTGCTTCTGGTGTGCGTGTGCTATATGAAGGAACTTCAAAAAGTTCATAGAAAAATGCCATTATCTTGTCATTCAATTTCTCCATGAACTTTTTGATGCCCTCTCATGGCAGTTATCATTTTTTTCATCATAAACTCTCTCATTATTAAACTTAAGTAAAACATTTAAACCGCAAATTTAAGACTGCCCTACAAAACTTTAGTCTATGGTATGGGGTGTTGGGAAGGCAAATTTTATGATCTAAAATTATGCCAAAATATACAAGTGGCCTTTAGATGAAAACAGAAGTAAAACGTGTGATAAGAAGGGATAAAAACATAGAGTACTATAATATTCCCTTTCCCCTCCCTACAGTTTTCCTTTGGCTAGTTAAACTCCACTGGGATCAGGGAGTCATTTATTGAAATGGGAATATAAAATTGGAAATAAATCAAAATCTAAAAAAAGTCCTATACTTGTCCTAGAATAGAATGAGCCAAACCAGCAATAGATAACATCATTACCTTGTTTCCATCAGGGCCTGGGGGTCCAGAAGGACCACGGCTTCCAATAGAGCCAGTAGGACCGGCAGCCCCACTCTGTCCCGGGGGACCACGCTCTCCCTGAAATAAAGGGGTTGGAATGAATGTTACAACATTTATCCCTCTCTGGGATGTCATCTTACACAACAAAGTTCTCATTGGATAAGGTTTTGAGCCTGGTTCTGCTACCTATCCACAAATTGTAATTTTTTTCTTCTTCTGATTTCCGCACTGAAAGAATGAAAGGATAGGATAAAAAAATTGCATTCGGGGCTCACGTTCTGTGATCACAATCTTAAGATTTTTGCTTCTAGAATATACTATTCAAACTTTGTATCAAAAATTGTTTTTTATTTTTTACATTAATAGATCCATGGATAAAAGTAGATATTATTAGGCCTAGTGAAAAAAGAAGGGGAAAAAACCCTTGTCATGTTAGCAGAATATCAATGCCAGTTTTGATAAGACTACCAAAGTAAAAAGAACAGCAGCCCCCAAACACACTCCCAGCACTGAGTAGAAGCTGACCCCATGGAGGGCGTGGAACTGCCCTTGTGGGTTTCTGAGAGTGTAAATCCTGACAGCCGTGGAAAGCCCCATCTTTCTCCAGAGGCCTGGCTGGGTGGTTGCTTTCAAACTACAGACCACGTGGGCGGTAGCCCAACATGTAACCCACTAGAACCTCAGGGCTCCTACTTCAGGTGGGATGAGTACACTTATATCTGTGTCCTCTCTTTGAAATGACACGGACAGCTATGATAGTCAAGGAAATGTGCGGCTATGTGTAGATATGTGTATACATATGTAGGTGCCCTCTCTATAGATTCAATTTTCTATCTAAATATCACTAGGACAAGGTATTCTATGGCATGGAATACTTATCATATTGGTCTGTGTTGCAACTGGGTCTTGTTATAATTTGGCTGTATGATCTAAAGCCAAACCTTTGCTGCTGAATCAATTCTGACTCATTGAGACCCTATAGGACAGAGCAGAACTCTGCCCCTCGGGGTGTCCCAGGCTGTAATCTTTATGGAGGCAGACTGCCACAGTTTTCTCCCGTCGAGGGAGTGACTGGTGGCTTCAAACGGTCAACATTTTGCTCAGCAGGCAAGCATTTTAACCAGTGTGCCACCGGGCTCCTTCGGCTCTATGATAATGAAGGAGTAAACTTATCTGCGCTTCCTATATATAATGAAATTAGTTGTGGAAAGGAATACTTTAGGGGAAAACTAATCATTCCAGATATTCTAATAATCACAGAGAAATATATTTTTCTTTATAAGAGGAGACACACCATTTTAGCTTTAGATTGTCAACATGAACACATGTTGCAAAAAAATTACTTTAGATCTTAGTAAGAGATTCATTTCCCTTGTCTTGGGCTGAGACACTGTCAGCAATCGTAGGGGGCTTCGAAAACTCATGGAAAAATAAGGCACTGGAATTTTTTCCATAAGCTTTTTGAAGTCCTCTCATATCATATACCTCTCTCTCTCTCTCTGTATCAGTGAAATTATGCATATATTCATTTTTATTTCTTATAACCGTGTGGTATTTCTAATTTGAGATATATGTACAATTGAACAACAACAAAAAACCTGTTATCAATTTAGAGATCTAACACTCTCCTGTGTAGGTTTTGATTACAGAGAAGTATTAGAGCAACTTCTTGCAACATCATTAGTGGCTAGAAGAAGAAATCGCTACTTCCTTTAAAAACACAGAACCAGAAGGTTATGCAAGTTAGATACGACTTACTCTTGGGCCAGCAGGACCAGGGAGGCCAAATTCACCATGGAGACCCTAGGGAAAACAGAAGAAGGAAGCGTGGGTTCACTTGCGAGAGAATAAAGAGAAGGTCCTTATTCAGTGAAATAGAGCAGGACAGGTTTGCCTGCGTGAGTGCCTCCTTTAGTGGCTCGTGGAACACGAGACCTTTCCGCTATCGAGGGAAAGGTACCAAAAAGTGAGAATCCCACTGATATGAAAGATACACCTTTTCCAGACCTGCTATTGGCAAATTTAAGTTTCCCCTCATTTAATTGAATGCTTTTAAAAAGGTGACAAAATAGATGATAGTCTGGTAAATAGTAATGAACAATATCAGCCATCGCATATATTTTTAATCTACATAACAGGCTGCCCTCCTAATAGAAATTATCATATTCTGCACATTACCTAGCTAATTGTATACCCAAGTGAATCTCCTTTATTACTGACCAGCTGTCTCCTTAATGTGCCCCACTGCTGACAAAGGAGACCAGGCCGCAGAATGGAACTGGGCTGACGCGCATTCATCACAATTACAGCGAAAGTGACTCAGAGCTCGCGCTCTGAGGGTGGGAGGGCAGTGTCATGTCTGAACGCCAAGAAAAGCATGAAAAGTCACTTTTCAGACTCTACTTTGATGGAAAGTCGGTGCATTTAACTTTTTCTCGATGGGGAAGGGCGTACTTTCTATCTACTATTACCCTGGGCAATACAAAAGGCAAGGCCATGACATGAAATATTCGCTGATTTTTTTTTTTTACTTTCACAATGTGATGTATTTCAGTCAATCCTTAAGATAAAGTAGTCTGAGGAGAAGTCAGTAAGTTGGCTCATTCTTTTCATTTGTGTCAACATAGGTGGAACACTATCATTAACATAAGACACATGAAACTTCCTTGTGCAAGTTATAATCAAATTTCAGGAGGGTATCACACAGGGGGGATTACTAGGACCTTAATATCGCTTGGTTCACTCACCCTTTCTCCTGGTTTGCCTACTTCACCGGTTGGACCTGCGGGGCCAGGCAGACCCTAGATGACAGAAAGATACATCTCAACCTTATGACTCTCTTCAAAGGGGTGGCCAATAATTGGGCTGTAGGGAGAACTCTTGCATACTAACATGATCTCTATTTTGTGTCATTAAGACATCATATAAAAGTTTGCAATGAACCCCCATCCCCCAAAAAATGACCCCGCCCCCACAGCTATCCTTTCTTGTTTCTGTTCTGAGATCACAGTCAGCCCGGTAGAGGGAGAGTGGATAGCCTGAACAAGGGCAATAGATCACTTACCTGAAATCCTGGGGGACCAGCAGGACCCTGCTCACCCTTTCCACCTTGGACACCCTGAAAGCGATAGGAAAGAGAACCTCAACAGGATATATGCTCCTCTGGTCCCATCCATAGAAGTTTGGGGTTGGATAAAGGAGATGGTCATTTGGGGGAACTTGATACATTCTAGGGCAGAACAAACAAAAACAAGCATGGAAGAAATACTCACTTGTGGTCCGGGAGGTCCCTGAGCACCATTGTTTCCATCAGGACCTGGGGCACCCTAAAATATTGAACAGAAAGGCTCCTGGTTACCTGGAAGCTAGACAGTTTCCAGTGCCTCAAAGCTGCAAGCAGTTCTTTGGAACAAGCTTGTGGTCTTAGCAAGAGTTTATCTCACTACGGGCTCTCCGCCAAGGGTCCGACATTGCCTACTCATTTTTGCTATGCCATGAGCAAAGTGCACGGGCGGAGGACTATTGCTAAAATCCAGAGAGTGACACAAGTATCGTCATGCTCTGTTAATCACAAGATGGACACACACCAAAAAACAAGTAGATTTTTTGTAAATATTTTTGGTCTTTACATACATTCTGACTTATTATCTATCGCCCACTACTGTATAAATGTGGCTCTAAAAAGTATTTTTTGTTATGGCAAAAAAGACCCTGGTGGGGGGGTTATCTTGGAAAGAAAGTGATGGGATTAGATCAGATGGCCTCATTGTTTGTGTTCCTTAGATGTGTGAATAGACGTGTACCACAGCACCTACCCGAGGGCCAGCAAGACCAGCATGCCCTTTATCGCCAGGTTTGCCAGCATCCCCCTATAATGAAGAAGCAAAAAGTAATTACAACTTTACACCCTTAATGTAAGTTAACCATGTGGATTTTGTACAATTCATCTTTTGCCTGCTTTTGTTTTCTTATGAATTCTAATCATTGAGTTCTGCTATCTAAGGCATGACCCATCATCGGGCAGCCCCGTATACAAGAAGGTGGACATAGCAGTTATGTCTCTGTGTCTGCAGACGCCCATTATTCAGCAAGTGGATTATCAGTAGGTATAAAATAATATGTTTCACTGCTATAAGAGGGTCACAGTTTTTCTGTGTTTAAAGAAGCCCCCCTTGAGGGAGATGGGCTGAGGGCAGATGGAAACAGTAGAATATTTGTGGAAGGGGTAACCAACGGTGGCGGGAGAGGAGGTGGTGGTGATGCTTACAGTGGGGCCTTTGGGTCCGGGGAATCCGATGTTACCAGGCTCTCCTCTTGCTCCAGCAGGGCCAGTTGGGCCAGGCCTGCCATCAATACCGGGGAGACCCTGAAACCAGAGTTACCAGTTTGCTCAGCATCAGTGCAGGCTCGCCGCCTCCTGTGTATGTGCTGCCCCGGGACGAGGCTGAGCCACTCTGAATGCACAGAGCTTCTTATACAGGCGGTGGATCCATCTCGTTTTTCTAAATAGAGTGTCGACGCATGCAGAGCCAACTCACCTCATCTACACAATTTCCCCCTTTCCGCTCTCTTTCCACGCCCTTGTCCCTAGCTTCAATTTTCTCTGCCATGTTTTTCTTTTTTCATCTCTCTTTTCAGCCCTGCATAATTTGGGCTACATAATTACAATCTATTACCTTGCCTTCCCAGATGATGTATTGCGGCTGATATTTATCTTTCAATGGAGTCATGTATAAATAAGCCACAAAATAGACTTGATAAGGGTGTAATAAGTGTCCTTGACAATATAATGGAAAATGAGCAATACTTACACCAAGTCCTTCTTTACCAGCTGGGCCAACATTTCCAGGGGAACCAGGAAGACCCTAGAAGACAAATGAGGATGGTTGCATATTGGAATTTTAATGCATATATTTGCGGCTGAAATTAATTGAAATAGCAGGAAAGCATTCAGCCCCCCCCACCCCGCCGGCCCCGCAGCCCACCACCACCATTTTATTTATGGTCTAGGATTAATCAGTAGGGAAATTAACCACAAGCTGCGAGGTGTAAAAAAGTTGTTAACATATTTCTTATTTCTATTTGTTTGTGCCTTTTATTGAATTTTAGAGCAAGATCTGTTTACAGTTACCTCAAAAAAACTGGTAAGCAACAAACTCTAGGGGTGAAGTGTCTCATGTTATTTACCTCCTAATAGAAAAGACCAATGCATCTGGTAAATAATTTTCAAAGTGAATTTTTCATTGCTATATTTTGGTGTCTGTATTACTTGTTTATGGTACAATTACAGTTGATATCCATCCATAAGAAATAATAGAGGCAAAAAATTACTCTATTGCTATGGATTAGAGTGTCTACAGATGTAAAGGTCATTTCTCCACAGCTAGTGTGATGCTGAATACATTATAGCACTTTCTGATAGCTCAAAGAATGATTTCACTTATGAATCTAATAAACTAATAATGTATAGTCCTAATACATTTCATGAACACCTTATATAAAGCTCACACATTAAGATAAAAGATTCATGCCAATAGGAGAGCCAACCTAATTTGGATATATTAAAATAGACCTATTCTTCTGAAAACCTCATATCCATTGAACCATTAGTAATAAATAGAAATGTTATGAACTAACCAAATACATAAATACATCTACGAGTTTTGATAAAGTTAAATTAAAAATGTAGCCGTCAGCAAGTCTACTAACAAATTTGCTTTGGATTTTGTTGTCGTTCTTGTTATCATCTTCAGGTATTAGTCCTTTTAAAAAATGAAACAACGCCAAGTGTGACTTGCTCAGAAACTATCTGTCACTTACTCGGGGTCCCATGAGACCAGGCTCTCCAGGGCGACCAGAATCTCCGCTGGGACCTCGGCTACCAGCAGGGCCACTTGCACCACGGTTCCCAGGAGGGCCCTATGAAAAGGAGGGATGCGGGTTCAAGCGGATGGCACTTTGGCCATCAGAAGGATCAGGTTCCTTTTTGCAAAATGAGTGGTAGGCGGTTTACCATGACACCAGCTCTGCCGTCAGCTCCAGGAAGCCCACGAGAACCAGGGCTGCCCTGCAAGAAAGGACAGGAAACCGATGAGAATGAGAGAAAACCTCTGAATCCGATAAGGCAGCGTTTATGAAAACATGGCTGTCACCCATGTGATAAATCTTGGTCTCCCCCTCCCAAGGGATAAACCAGAGCACTTCGCCCAAATCCCAAAGGAATGTTTAGAGGAGCCCCCCGCAACAGTGGGTCCAGCCTGTGCACAGACCAATTTTATAACATACCAAACCGTCAGTTACCGATTGACTAAAGCAGATGGGAAGCAGATGCTTCCTTAGTCTAGAAGAGATACTCAGTAACTTTGACCAAGTGCCAGCGGGGGGTCCCTTCATCTGCCTCTGCTGTATGTGGGTGCCAGGAGCGTCTAGAACCTACCCTTAGCCCAGGAGGCCCTGCAGGGCCAGCAGAGCCCGGTTCACCATTGGGCCCTCTCTTTCCTTCTTCACCACTGGGACCAGCAGGCCCTTGAGGACCAGCAGAGCCCTGTTTAATGAACAGACAAAGGGAGGAGTAGAAATAATTTTAATTTTAATATAGAGTTAGCGAAGGACAGCTCGCTAACATTTTGCTTATAGACTACTTACAGGTTCACCCTTGCTGCCACTCTCTCCTTTGGAACCGGCGGGACCAGGCTCACCCTAGGGGCCAAGACAGATGGTGGTCAAGTGGCAGTCATTTGGAGAACTCCAGTAGGCAAATCTCTTGGCGATGTTGATAGATCAAAACAAGGAAAAATTCAGAGTCCTCAAGAAATGTGCCCTGTTCGTATTTAAAGGACCTGCTGGGGGTGGTGTTAGTTGAAAGAACAAGATTGATAATTGGAGACTTTCTGCATCATTTGCCTTTGGTTAATGCACTAAGAGTTGCGGGAGGGGTATGTCTCTCTGTGGGTCTGTGTGTGTAAAGGGGGTGGAATATGTGTGTGTGTGTGTGTGTGTGTATATGTACACACACCTATATAGTGACATAAGAAAGCAAGGTGAAAACGATAAGACTAATACTAAGGTGCAGGAAAAGAAGAAGAAAACGACAAGAAGAAGTCTAGAAGGTGAGATGGCAGCACAGCTGGTATTTCCAGGCCTGTTTCCCGAGTCTGCCCACGGCCACGACCACTTACCACGAGTCCTCTGGCACCAGTAGCACCGGCAGAACCAGCGGGGCCAGGAATACCGCGGGGTCCAGGGAGGCCGGGCGCCCCGGCGACCCCAGGCAGGCCCTGGGAAGAAAAGCACGTGTCTGTCACGAGGCAGCGCTCTTTCACAGCCGCTCAGGCTCCGCTGCACAGTCCAGCCACCTGTCTGTCGTATACTTACAGCAGCACCCTTGGCACCAGCCAGGCCGTTGGCTCCAGGGTTGCCCTATGAAGAAAAAGGAGAGGAGGAGAGTATTAATCGACAGACGGTTTGTTCTCTGACAAGCCCTCCGGGTAGCTCCTCTCCCGCTTTCTTCCACCCCTTGGGGTCCAGGACGTAACAGCTACTTACAGGCGGTCCGACCGGGCCAGAAACGCCGGGGAGACCCACTTCACCGCGAGGACCCGCAGGACCGGAGGGGCCAGGGTTACCAACAGGACCAAGTTCGCCCTAAAAGAAGCAGCGACACCCAGTCCATCATGAAGCCGCTCATGTGTGTTTGTAGTGTAGACAGCCTTAGGAAGTGTCTTCAGAGTTGCGATTTCCCCCCTGATCTTGGGTGCCACACGATGCGGGTTTGCTCTCCCCGTGATGATTTGCCATATGGGTGCCATGGCTTCGTTTCACCCTGCCCCTGGTTCTGGGGTCTGTGCACGAGGCAGAAACTCTGGATCCCAGGCAGCCCATCCCAACTGGCTAGCCTATCCCAGCGAGCCTCCACGGAGGCCGCGTCCACGGACTAGCGCCACGGAGTGTGGCGCTCAACTGCAGACAGATGGTCTGCGCCGACGGAGGGTGTGAAAGCTAGTGATTTGAGAGCCAGAGCGAGAGAGGGGCTAGTCAACCATTCTGCAACTGCTTGTCTACCCACAAGCACAAGTATAATATTTTGACATCATGCTCACAAAGACAGTTACGGTATTTAACCTCAGAATAAAATGTGTTACCAAAGGGGTGACAAGATCACCAGTGTCTTTACCTTAGGACCGGGGGCACCAGGGAAGCCTGGGGGGCCAGCAGAACCAAGGGGACCCTGAAATCAATAACAGATGGAAGTGGCTTAGAGGGACTTGGTGTTATCAAATATTGGCAAAGAAAAAAACCTGATAATCTCGTGACTGGGATCTTATTCAAAGCAAGACATCCTGGGTACCCAACGCTGGGCCGAGTTTGCTTTATACGTCAATCAGTGCCTGGGAATAGGATTTATGTAAATGAGATCCTTCAAGAGACCTCACAGATCATTCGGTGTGTGTCAGAAATGACATGCTCGGTAGGAATTGAATAGGAGACAGTTCTCAAGTTCTCCTTCCATGCTCTCTCAACCCCTTCCGAATTCCCCAGGGTCCACACTTACAGCAGGGCCCACAGGACCCACGCTCCCATCACTTCCACGGGCACCCTATGTAAAAAACGAAGAGAAAGAGTCAAATGAAGAGTTAAGTGGCAGTTATTAGAACATTTTTAAAAGGGATAAAAATGAATAAAAATGGGAGCACTTACAGCTGGGCCAGAGCCACCAACACGTCCTCTCTCGCCAGGAAGCCCACGGGCTCCCTAGAAGCAGAAACATTTTCAGTCAAATTCAGAAAAGTCACAGGCATCAACGGGTTTGTCCAATTTCCAATATGTGCTAGAATCCACTAGAAATAAATAGGCCTGGTTCTAATTCCAACTAAGATGTAATGGATTTCAATTAAGTATGCAGAAGGCTTTTAGAAAAATATCAAAGAATGTAATGCCAAGGGATATGGTAATTAGCAAAAACATTAAAGAAGTTCCAGCTAGCAAAGAGTGTGCCCATTCTGATTTTCAATCTAGTAATCAATACTTACTGTTTGACCGGGAGTCCCATTTTCACCAGGAGCACCAGGTTCACCCTACGTGGAATAGAAGTTTTTGTTCATTATACATATTGATTTATTTTGCCTCAGTGTGTATTTTTTTTAAACTCGACAGTTAGAAGGATCCCCAGTGGCTCTATGGGTTAGCCATTAGGTTGCTAACTGCAGGGTTGGCAGTTCAAACTCACCAACCATGGAAGATGAAGCTGCCTGCTCCCACTGAGATTCACAGCTTTGGAAACCCCAGAAAGGACTGCTATGGGTCTGAGTGACTTAATGGTCGTGGGTTCGTTTAGTATCACAATTTAAATGAGTCTTATATTGCATATTGTAGGCATATAAACTATGTCTCAACTATATCAAATACATACATAAAAAACTTATCCATGGAAACATGTATTTTTATTTAGGTAATGCCAGATAGTTGGGTGCCAGGGAGATGTGGTTGTTTGAGAGCTACTTCTTCCTGCATGATTTCCCCTCCGATTTTGCATGTCTTTTAGATGAGGGTTAAGTATTAGAACTGATGTAAAGGCAGATGGCAAAGGGACAGTTTGCACCCAATATAACTATATTTACCCTCCGTACAGTTATTTTGAACTTTCAACCTTTGATTTTCATAAAACATGCCTAAAAAAATCTGATCTCCATAATATTTTCAGAGCTGCCACATCTACAGTTTATACTATTTTATTGAGAAAAAATATTGTGGGGGCAGGGGGAGAGCTTACATTATGGCACATGTGAGGGGACTTTCCTTCAAGATGATCTGATTGTGAACAGAAAACAAAGCAAAAAAAAAACCAAACCCACAATGTGATTTGAGAGGTTATTGAAGGGCCTTCCTGTCTAATGTTCTTTAGGGATGAGCCTGGCGTAAGAGTCAGGACTTCTAGCCCCGGCCCTTGGAACGACCAGATGCGTGGCACCGGACAAGTCACCAGCCTTCTGGAAACCTCGGTTTTCCTCATCGGCAAAAGGAGGGAATTTCCAAAGCTCTTGGCGGCTCTCACATTTTATGATGGCGCGTTTAGTAGTCTGACTATTACATTGGGCTCCGGGGAGAATGAGTTTGACCTTATCCATTTGTGTGGCAGCTGAACGTTAGCACAGCTTCTCCATATTCATGTTCATTTCTGGTCCCGCTAGTATTCATTACTCATTAATTTGTAATTACGTTGGTATTCGCTTTAATATCACATTATCTCTTTGATAGGAAAGGGGACATTTTATAGTTGAAAACGTTGTCATAGAAGAGCACAGCCAAGAGATAACACACTTCTGAGACTTTAATTACCTAATTAAAAAATTTTTGAGTGGGCACAGATACATCACAGGAAAGAGGTTGAAAAGAGTATTGTGACATGAATGTACCTACCTAATTAATGCATGGCAAAGGAGAGTTTGCAGTTTAAAATAACACATCATGTTCTAATATCTGATCATGTGTTTATTTACCCTTATTTGGGCTTCAGAGATCGACTGAAATTACCCAAGGTGGAAAGTAAATGGGGGCGAGGGGGTGAGGGAAAACTATTGTTATCATTTTTAATGTCAATTCTTTAATAGGCAATGAATTAGACCAATATTATCAGTAATTGGCCGTTTGTCCCAGACGCTCATTGTCTCACTACCACGAGAGCTGCGTGTAGAAGAGGAAGTAAGATGCTTTCCAGAGTGTGGGTAGGCCTTAGCGAATGAACTTTTTGGTGAGGCGGTGTGGGGCATATCAAATAATCATTTCCAAAACAATGCTTCTAACATACCTTTACACCTGCAGCACCGGGCTGTCCCTTCAATCCATCCAGACCGTTGTGTCCCTGAAAGGCAATTTAAAAAAAAATTTTATTAACATGCTATTCCACTACAGTGTTGGGTCAAATCAAACACTTCATAGCTTTGAGCTTAATTGTTTCTGTGGTGGGTCTCCTGGCCACCTCAGTGCGATGGAGTCCCAGCACTCAGCTTGGGGTGAACTAGCTCGGGTACCCCAAACTCTAGATGAAGGGTAGGTAACCTTCCTGGCCTTGGGAACGTGAGATGCAGGATTAGATGCTCTTTGGCATCCCATTAACCTTGAATCATTTTAACATGGCCGTCAGTACGGAATAAGCCCTCGGCACCCTCTACAGTTGCTCAGTCATGATGCTCTTTTCCTGGGAGCTTTGAACAGACTGGAAAACCGCTCCCAACTTTACTTTCACACAACCTCTCTCTCTTGTCAAGCGAATCATTGAGCTTCTCTATTTTCCTTTCAGTCTCCCTCTTCTTTCCCCAAATCACCAGCACTTGTCTCCCATCTGGATGCAGAAAGGACTCACCCGAATGCCCTTGAAGCCAGGCAGGCCGGGGGTCCCAGGGAAGCCACGAGCACCCTTAGAAAGAAACGCAGGAGATGATCAAGACTCACTTTCTTGTTCATGAAAAGACAGCGATTCCTGCCCCTAAGGTTGTGATTTTCACCAATGTGGAACTAGGAATAAAGACCGAGTATATTTTTAAGCGCCAATTAATAGGCTCTCATGTGAGAGACAAAGTGATGATGTTTAAAAAAAAAAAAAAAAGATTTAGTTGCTTATGGTGAGCATGCTGCCATTAAGATTACATAAAATTGTTTGCATTAATAAAAATGTTATGCACTCCTCACTAGGTTCCTATTACGTTCCCAGACACCTCCAGTTAGTGTTCGAATCTGTGTGACATCCATTCTGCCACACAGACTGACTCCAGCTTCAGCAACTCTCTTTTCTCTGCAAGTCCCCGGACGCTTGCATTGTACCAAGTGTCTGGGCTTCCAAAAGTCTCACCTGTGGTCCAACAACACCTCTCTCACCAGACCGTCCAGGCTTTCCAGGGTGACCCTGAAATAGGAAGGCATCATAGGATAAGCCTTTTCTTGATCAGCTGTCAGATAAAAGAGGGGCATCTTGGCTTTTACAATAGTAGAAAAGGCATCACATAAAAATGTGGATACATATATATTAATAATAATGTTTCCTTTAAAACAACCAAGTTAATATTTCGTACAATTGTTTTTTTTTTATCATCTGGGGAGAGTTATGTCAGATTTATTCAGCTTTTGGGAAGATCTTTAATTAGATTCTAGAAATTCTCATTGGAGGCAGGAATATGTACATGGTGGTTTGGGAGGGGTTAGGAATAAAAACTTACATCTTCACCAGCCTTGCCAGGAGGGCCAGCTGGACCACGAGAACCGGCAGGACCCTAAGAAATGGGGAGACGCGTCATTTAGTTAAGGCTGTGCTCATAAATCTCTGACAACATTCATCACAAGTGGAAACAAGGTACTTACAGTTTGTCCAGGCTCACCCGGCTCACCGGCAGGTCCATTGAAACCCGGAGGGCCCTGAGAGAGAGAGAGACGAAAGTATATCCTGCTCCAAGCCTTTACTTCCTTCTGCTTTTATGTGGGAGGGATCCAAGCCTTTGGTACTTACAGGGGGTCCGTTTGCACCTGGAGGGCCTCTAGGTCCCATTAAACCCTGCAGAGTGGAAAGACACAGCACGGATAAACATCTGCTTTTGTTGACATGGCCGTGACAAGATTAGCAGTACCATAGACAGTCTGTGATGGACAGACCAACAGACCTGGCCTGGTTTTACTTTAGTTTTTGTTCCTCTCAAGAAAGCATTCAAGGTCGAACTTGGCTTCACTATTTCTCTGCTTGCTTCTGTTTATCTCTTAACCCAGATCTCAAGGAGCAACAGATGGAGGCAGGCCGAGTCCCCTGACCTCTAGCTCCATGGAGCATCGTGAGATTGTTTGAATGCAGAGAAGTCAAACTGTCTTTGCCAAGTATAGAATATGCAACTACACAGCTAATGACCCATTTCTGCATGTCATACTTAGCTAAGAAATTGATCTTTTTATTGTCACAATGGGCATAAGTTGAAATGAATTAAAGTCCTGCTTAATGCCGGGGGGAGGGGCTCCCCTTTGCTTTTCATTCTGAGCTACACAAGTAAAGCAAAACAGAGCATTACTGGTTTGTGAGCGAAATACACATTCTTGACCCCCACCCTCTTGCAGTAACCAATGGCTACCTCAACTCCCCTATGGCAGCCTGTGCACACAATGCTGGAAATGTCTCAGATACAAGTCTTGGGTAGTAATTTGTTGATGATACATCAACCGTGGGGGTCCCTGCAGTCAGGTTTGTCCCACTGTATTAATGTATTGAAATAATATGAAATAATATGGATTGTCCTTAAAAAGCACATCATCTTAATGATAACTTTATTTATTTGATTTTAGAAATTGCCATGGTATTAAACGAAGCTATCAATTTTCAATTAAAATAAGGCTTTAGGTATACAGAAAAAGAGTTTTCTTGGACACTGTATATTTTAAATCGCATTTCTTTTCTTTTTTCCCATGGAGTTGCAACAATTTCACTTACATAGTGTATTTTGTGGGGATCGTGAGACAGAAGATGATGACTCATTAATTCAGAGAAGAACCCTTTGGGGCTTTATATTATTGATTTTCCAACATGGAAAATTATTTGAATATTTTATGATAGCCTGTCTTTCCTGTTTGCAAAACACATATCTGTTGATTATTGTTGCCTGTGCATGTGTGTAGATGTACAAACTTAAATTTTATTTCACAGTAAAACACTCTTTTATGCTCCCACCAGGGTTGTGCCGAGGTCAATTTTCCAAGCGTCTGTGGGCTTTTTCTTTGTTTGAGCCTTTACCAGCATTTCATTAGTTTCCCATTCTAGTCTTCTTCAGCTACTGGGACTGTTTTAAAGCTGGCTGATGCCCAGCCCTAGCTGAACCGACTAATTGTAAACGGTCACAACAAAACAGCACAAGCAACCCCCTAAACTCTACCTCTTCACTTTAGATATAGAGATTTTATATTACAAAAAAAACCCTAAAAAAAAACAAAAAAGGAAAATCATCAAGTAAAAGTACCTTCTTCTCCAGTGAGGATTTTAAGTTACAGAAAATATGCTCTTGCCTTGTAGCATACGTATTAGTTTATTGTTGAAAATTAGTTCCAGCGGAACATAATCTTTTTAAGATCGAAGACCGAATGCATTGTTCAGGCAAAACTAGTATTTAAAGACAATGTTTAAGGTGTTTAAAAATATTAAAACCACTGTGTGTGTAGTGTTTAATCAACTAATACTTTTATATCTGGCTTTTTTCCCACTCTATTTCATATTGCTACATTTTGTGTAGTCATATCACTCTTTTTCTAACATATATATTTCTGCTTACTCTGAGATGTACTTCCGGTAGATTCAATATCATTACTAGAATCATGTTGGGAACTTTTCTAAATGTTACTCTGATTCTAGGATATATCGCAAGATCCTTGTGTGGCATGCTATGTTTCAGTTACATTATTCTTTCTTTACTTATAATTCAGAGGCTCAAATGGAACTTTTATCCAAACAGATAAAAAGAAGCATTTCCTATATTATCGACGGTGGGTCAGAGTCTGTCGTACTGGTTGCACTGATACATATTTGTTGAAAAAATGGGTGTCGGACTCAACGATTAGTTATCTGAGCCACAATGGTGACTCTGCAGAAATCGTGCCTGGTGATGAGTCCCAGTTCGGTGATTAACTACTTGCATGCCCTTGGGAAAAGGGGCTAATCTCTGGTTATAAAACAAAAAGGCTGATGTAGAACTTGTTGATCCTCTCTAATAAATTAAAAAGATCTTAATAGTTATGTGTCAAGAAAGGTTGTTTCGAATCCTAAGCAATGTTGCAGGATGTAAAAAAAAAAGAATGATCACGGTTTTGAATGAAATTCACTTGCCACAGTTATGGTCACTATAAACCATAACAAAGGCTATTTCTTGGATATTAAGATATGATTTAGATATAATACCTAAATTCAATATATACACCTAATAAGGCAAATTTGTTAAAAAAAAATGTACCCCTAAGTGTTACAGATTTGAGTTAAAAAAACAAACTGATCTCAGTTTTGAGGGTCAATCCTGTGTAGTCAACACGGTGTACTATGCAGTTAACGAATGGTGACGTAAAATGGCACACATAGAATTACTATTTAGTGTATGTTTTTTATTTGAAAAAGAAGAAGACGAAGAAATACACGTACCATTGGTCCGGGGCCGAGTCCAACACCCTTTCCATCGTATTGGGCAGCAAAGTTCTGGGGAGAAAGGAACAAGCACAACTGCTTACACAGGGGGCAGCCGCTGCGCTCTGTTGTCTCATTCTGTTCCTGCAGATGTGCTGCTGTGGTGCAAAGGGGAGTAAGGCTTTTGATAGAAGGGTGGATCCTGAGGGTTTCAGAACCACATATAAAACTAAACTCTAACACCGTCAGGAGAAGTGTAAGATCAGATTTTACTCCACACCCAGTTTGAAGTGGAACCTCCCTGACCTTTTTCGAAGCTTCCTTCTCCTCACCACCCTAGGTTTCTGCCCTTTCCCCTCTACATCCACGCTGAAGACGGAGAGCGTTCTAAACCCCCAAAGCCAGCGAAGGCTCCTTCTAAACTAAGTAGCAACCAAGAGAAGGGCCACACATTTCCAGCTGTTGCCCCTCTCCTCCAGAACAGCACAAAATGACTGGGCGACCTTGTTTCCTCTCACCAGAGGAATATAACGTGTTCATGTTTAGAGGAAAATGACATTAAAATGCCCCTTGGAAGATTAAACTTTTTAAAAAAGAGTTCACAGTAATAACTTTACTGTTAAAGATCTCTTTTATACTGGTAGATCTATTAAAGAAGGTGCTTTTTAATACACTCAGTAGATACACAATCGTAATAAGATCTTTGAGGGAGAAAGGTCTTATTTTTACGGGTGTACAGTTGAGTATTAGAATCAGGCTTCTGAATCATCGTGCTAACCAATTAAGCAAATATGTTGTCCTTCCTGCAGTGAGGCCATTTGGCATTCATACCATTGTTAAAGACATAAAGCGAAGAGGAGATATTAACGCAAAAGGGAAATGTACCTTTCTCCAATTAGTTTCAAGAAAATTAAACCCAAAACTGCTTTGAATGTTGGTGCAGCAGACTTCAAGCCAAGGAGAATAAAAAGGTAGAGTGTGTGTAAAATTGCTTAAGATCAGGGATTTCACTAATTCAATCCAATCAAACTCGTTAATAATGCAACACTCCTTATTTGTGCCCTACTGATAGAAGATATTAAATCCCCAAATTAAATAATGATTGTCAAGGCTGCCTCTGCCTTCAGTGAACACAAAGAGCAGTCCTGTAATTGACAAGGGCTCACAAAGAAAATGGGCCAAGCCAGACCCTTGAATGAAGAAACTAAAGAAATGAACTGAAATACATTCATTTCCAAATAGCAGGATTCTGCCTTAACTGTTACAGATATATTCCACAGTCATTCTTCATCTAATAGAAGTATAAGAAAGTAAAAATAGCTAAAAGTTAATACTACTTAAGAAATCTTACCCCGCCAAGACCAGGGGGGCCAGGAGGGCCAGGTGGACCAGGAGGGCCTGGGATTCCATCTTCTCCATCTCTGCCTGGTGGGCCTGCTGGACCCTAGTGAGTGAAAAAGGAACAACGGGGTTAGGGATAGGCGGGGCTCATGGAAATATGTACAAGGAAAAGGAGACCTACAGACGTAAAAGGTATTATCAGTTTTTCTGACCATCAAGGAAGTAGGGTGGAAATTAAGATTGGATTATGGAAAATTAAGATTAAGGTTTTTTTGGAAGGATGATTAAGTAACTGAGGCTGAAAGAAGACACAGGAGAAGGTTCTTCATGAGTTTCTTGGCTAATTAGTGCTGGTTCATAATGGAGATCCAGTATACTCAAATAAAGATAAAGATAAAAACTATACCTAACATTCATGATCCTATGAATTTCAGATGTTTAACAGTAAGATAGTATACTACGTATATGAGTGGACTGTTTTATCAACTCTTTTGATATGTTATGCATGAATAGCAGCCAGATAGGATGAATAGAATCATCTTATCACAAGGCTAGAAAAACCTGCAGGTATCCTACCGTTAACACTGTTGTTTAAGTCACCAGCATAATTCTACCTCTAATAAATTATTCAGTGAATCCACATGTGCACTTTTCAATAGCTACATTGTTGAGTTATCAGTGATTCTGACTCATATAGCAACCCTACAGGCCAAGGCAAAGCTGCCCTATTGGGTTTCCAAGATTGGAATCTTTATGGAAACATTGCCACATCATTTTCCCTCCCAGTGGCCGGTGGATTTGAACCATCAACTTTTTAGCCAGCAGCCAGTGCTTAACCACTGTGCCACCAGGGCTCTTCCTAATAGATATATTGTATTTCTCTACTGACGAAGTATCATACAATGCACAACCATTTACTTAGAAAGGTCAAGTCATCATATGAAAGAGATAAAAAAGGGAAAGAGTGTAAATAAAACATGTCTGATTGGTTCATTTTTAAATTTAGGCTGATCAACATGCTGTTGAGACTATCATTCCTAAATTTTATAAGAGATCTTAATTAATATGCAAGCAGAACATGCTAGAATCATAGCTACTGGGTGGTGACAAGCAGATATACGTCCACTATCTATGTATGTAACTGTGCTAGGCAACCAAGTAACAAGCAGAAGTATAAGTAGACCATGCAGAGTCTGACTATCCTGTAATAATTTTTCTTTTCTGAAGAATAAACTTTTCCCAAGAGGAGCACTGACTATGTCTAACAGCACACATTATCTGCTTGGGAATCAAGCTCACTACCATCGAGCCCATTCTGACTCATAGGAGGCCTGCAGGGTAAGGTAGAACTGCCCCCGTGGCTCTGTGATGAGACTCTAAGTCTTTACAGGAGTACAAAGGCTTGTCTTTCTGCCACAGAGTGTCTGGTGGTTTCGAACTGCCGACCTTGAAGTTAGCAGCCCAACACATAGCCAAACTATTCTTATAAAACAGTCTCTCGTAGCCCCTCGTATGAGTAATTCAAAGGAGGATCAAAGCTCTTTGATACGCACCCTGTCTCCACGAGGTCCTCTATCTCCAGTCGGCCCCTGCAAGGAAGACACAGAGGGCACAATAAGAACGACCCCAGCAAACACCAGGGGCAATCGAGCTAGTCTGACCACAACCTGCTGGTGAGAGTCCTCAACTAGGGTTGAGCCTCCACTATATAAAAGTATATTGTTTTTACCATAATTACATGCATTTCTTGAAAGTGGGGATCTAAAGGCTGCTAGGAGTTCCAGCCATTAGACCAATACTCTAAAGTTAATTTTTAGTTAGGCGATTCTGTAGATAAAATGATGATTTTGTTACATCTATTACTGCATACTTATGTAGTCCAACCCCCTTAGAATACATCTTGTTTTATTACCATAATCTAACATAGTACTCTATTTTCAGAGTAAAACCAAAATTTTTTCTCTCTTACTGTGTAAATCACTAATTTATGCAATATAATGACTATAAATGTACTTAGAGATGGCATTGGGATATAATAAAATTTTGCTATCTTAAACTTCTCAACTACTTTTAATTATGGTCTAGCTATTGCATATTAGATTGGGCTTAATGTTGACAAATATTTGCCTCTCATGATTGCTTATACATTTAGTGAAATTAAAAGTCATTTTGATCATTATAGATTATTCAGATATGTCTAAAGGAGCACTGAACTCTTACCTTTCTTGCAGTTTCCTAGAAAAGAATACATAAAAGATCATTATGAAAAAAAATACACACACACACACACACACATATATATATATATATATATACAAGAGGAGGCTTCAGAAGCTTCATGGTAAAATGGAATGAAACATTCAAGGAATTTTTCAATGAAATTAGTACATATTAATATAAATAGAATATATTAATATATAACATACATAAATATATCTCTCCCTCATTTCTGTATAGTGCACTGTGCATTTGTTATCACAACTTAATATTCTAGAGTAAAAATTTAAATTTTAGCAATAAATTAAAACTTGCTATACACAGAACCAAATATATACTTATCTGTAATTATGCCTTAAAGTCAATTCCTGATGAATTTGATCATGATATGCTTGCATATGATTTCAAAGAAGTTCAAGGGTTTCTAGCTTAGCTAAATTTGCTTTGTCGTAGCTGATACTCAGGCTCCCACTGGACTTAGTTACTCTCTGTTTCTCTGTCTTTTTATGAAGGGAGTCTTATTCAGTAGCTCCACCCATTTTAGAAATTGGGGTGGGTCTTTTCTGAGGCTGCCAAAAATATTCGTTCTTACAATTCTTCACGATTTTTTGGTGAATCCACGTTAGTCAATGCCAACGCATCTCTCATTCTCACCAGAGAAGATGTAGTAGCCAAAGAGATTAATATAAGTATGTGTATTTAAAAAATAATTTTACTCACCGTTTGTAAAGCTAGGGAGAAAAGAGGAAAGTAGAAAATCATTATTAAATATTGCAATAGGAGTTCATTGATCAATAGTGATAATTAGCAAATACATATAGTAGTTCATACTATTGACTGATCAAATTTAAAGGCCAATTATATATTTTAAGATGATTCCAATGATTTGGAAAATATGCAGTTCAACAGTGTGGCCAGGAATTGCTGAGTGATTTGTCTGCAACATTAAGATATAAATATATTTTGAATGAAATTGTTAATTATTTACTATTTTATAAATGCTTTAAAAGATTAACATGTCTGATGACTATTATCAATGCTTAGTAAGTAAGCTGGTAAATTGCACAAGTGGATTGCTGAATGTAACAGAAGACTAGTAGACTGATGAGGAAATAATTTTAATTTATTGTTCAGATCTTAATACTTAAAAATCGAGAAAGGGGAAAATTTGGGATCATATGGAACCTATATAGGACACAGAGATATTTAGTGCTTTATTGAGTTTACACTTTTCTTAGTGTCAAATTTCAAAAGGTATAATTTACAAATTGTTAAGTATGAAAAGAGTTAATCCAGAAACTTGTAAACTTAAAATGTAAATTGTTACCACTTCTGTTCCCGAGAAAGAATTTGCTCTGTATGAGCAGGAAACACTGTATTCAGGAATTTGAAAATAAGTGGTAAAAATAAACCCTAATCTCCTTGTTTCTATAATTGTTGTAAGTCCTTAGAGATTGAATGCCACTCCTACCACATAAAAATTATAGGTTAACCTAGGATACAAGTGTGGCCAATCTTGCAATAAGATGAATCAAACCTAAGAACTGCTTTAATTGAGTGGCCAAGGAGTATGTTATTTGGAGTGAAAATATCTTTTGCAACAGGCACAATTCAGGAGCGTGGACCATATCCAGCCCTAACATTTAAGGGCAATTTATAAGAATTACTTTTAAATTAGAAAAATTACATGTTTACTTCATTGTGTACATCAGTAGGGAGGATGATTATGCCTGAGTTTGATTAACAGAAGTCCTTATGATTTTGGAAATTTGCCTTTTAATTATTCAGAAACAAGCCATTTTGAATAACTTGTGTTTGGCAACATTTATTCCAGACCATGGTTGGCTACCAATTAAATGGTAAATTTGCCCTTTGTACCTCCAACTTCCTGGGCTTATTTTCTGTCTTTCTCTTGGAGCCAATCCTTTCACCCTGCGCTCAGATTCCCACAAAAAGTGAACGCTGTAATGTGACTATGTTAGATGCAGTTCCCTGTAAAATGATGTGGATACTAAAAGTTTATGGGGCACTAAGACACCAAGAAATGCATCAGTAATGATGTCATGGTAGCGTCTGTGGCATTGGGTGGAGCAAACTTTTTGTTGTGTTGGGTGTGGTCAGACACCCTGAATATCCCATCAGATCAGTAGCTTTGCCTGGTCATTAGGCAGCCATCATTTTCAAGACAAAAAAACCATATCATTTTCTTCATTCTACCTTGATAATAGAAGAAGTCTGGAAAGGGAATCAGTCTAATCCTTTTAAAGAAAAGGCGTGGCTGGATGGCCCAGGACCTCAAGGTAAAGTAGTGGTGGTCTTGGTAGACCCGTGTTGACATTTCCCAACATGCCGTGCTCAGAGTGTCTCATTATCTCCGAGAAGATGTTGAGCAGGTGATGCTCAGACTCAACAAAAGCAGAGTGGATGTTAGTTAAGTCATGGTACCACTTCCAGAGGATGAGTGAAGAAGCTAATTGTACTCTTCAGATGGCGTCCATTCCAAGTAGCATCATTTCCCTTCCTTGGACACACTGACTAGCCATTGGGGAGGAAGTCCAATCAGAAACGCAGAGAATCTCTCTGGATAAATTGATAGTCTTTAATGGAGACCCATTCGGTTAAGATCTGGTCCCTGGTGCTTTCACTTTCCTCCCTGCAGAGGGCGCCTTATAGTCGTCACCACGACCCTTCAGGCGAGATTTACAAAGGCCCGCAGATCAAAAAAACCACCCTGCAGAGGAGTCGGGTCTATGTTACCAAATTAAGGAGCTTTCTAAAGCAGGCCCCAGATCCCACAAAGCGGGCACTGGACTCCCCGCACCCCATCCCATCTTTAGGGACAGGACCTGCGCCTGCCTTCCGACTCCCCCAACCTGGGATCAGATAGATCCAGGCACTCACTCGCTCCCCCTCTTAGTTCACCGAAAAAGTTCCCTAACTTTTGGCCAGATTGGCGCCTCTTGTATTTCCATTTTTAGGGGGATGTCCGTGGGTCCCACCTGCCAGGGCCTTCCTGGCCTCCCAGGTGAAGCTAGACCTGACCTTGGGGTTACTGTCTGGCCCCAGGGCCCCACCCGGCGGCGGCCTCCTCTCTCTCTCCCATCCCCCGAGCAAGCGGAAGGCACTTACATTGGCATGTTGCTAGGCACGAAGTGACTGCGAGCAGCAACAGAGTCCGCATGTCCACAAAGCTGAGCATGTCTACCACTGAGACATGCAGACTCCTTGTGTCGCAGAGCCCCGGGGTCCCAGCGGAGGATCACCTGGCCAGAGCGGGCATGCAGTCGTGGCTAGGACCTCCAACTTAGCCGAAAACCTCCTGCCGCCGTGGTGCTAAAATAATAAAGCCCAGATCTGCCCTATTTATATGGCAAAAGTTTCCCTGGCCCGAGGGTGCTTCCAAAAGCTCCTCCACCAATGAGCGGGCCGGGGCTGGGGGCCCGGGCAGCCACGACGGGGAGGAGACTGCGGGGGCGCCGGGGGGAGGGCCGTGGTCACGGGGCCCACTTCTTAAATTGGTTCCATTCTTTTTGAGGACGTGGACACTTTTGAGGCTTTTCAAGGGGGAAACTCTGACTCGTTGTCTGCATACCTCCGCCCTCCCCATCCCGCCCTCCCCCCCACCCCGCCCTTTCCAAGTTTGGAAATGGTTGGGGACACGTCGTCTAAGCGCCCCGCTCTGCAGGCAGTGACATGGGCTGGGGCTCCCCCCGCAGCGTGCAGACCTCCCGGCCGCTGGGCACCCACCTTGGAGGGGCCAGGGCCAGGCGATCCAGGCAGGAGCTGTCCAGCCTGGCCTCACCTTGTGCCCTTGGCGGCCGGGGCACAGCCTCGGGGGCCCTGGGATGTGAGGGGCAGCAGAGGAGGGAGGGCGGCCTGGACTGCGTGGCAGGGGCCGCTCGCCGCCCACCCCGCCCTCTCCTCTCCGCCCCACCCCGGCTCAGCCCAGCTTTTCTCCAGCTTTGGGACGTGGAGCGCCCACTCTTCCAGCAGCCACGTTCTGCCTCTCCTCTGGCCCTGGGAGAGGGCTAGAGGCTCCCGTCCACCACCACCACCCCTCACCCCACCCCCAGGAGAGGGCGAGAGGGGATCACTTTCGGGAGGGTTAGGTTGGAGTCTTGGAGTGGGAGGATGCCTCCTGTTGGGGGTGGGAGAGGGGAGCTGGCTCGCTCCCAGGCCTGGCACCCAGCATGACAGAAGGTGTGGGTCACTCACAAAAAGGAGCCTAAGCCTTGGCCTCTTCCTGGGCCTCTGTTGAGGCTGAGTCTCAAAGGAGTCTCAAAGATTAGCTGGCTCTGCAACCTGGTCTCCTTTCTGAGAGCAGAACTGAGGCTCCAGCTCCCTTCATTTCTCCAGTACCCCTCACCTCGTTTGCTCTGATGGCCTGACTGAATTTGCCACCTCCATTCGGAGCCTGGTTCCAGATAGTCCTCCAAAGCACCCCCAGTTTCTCTTGACCTCACTCGCCATTCACCGACACAGTGAATTGTTACAGTTAATGCCCAAGCACCTCCCTGCTTTGGTCTCCTCTCCTCTTCCCACCTTAGGAAACAAAACAAAACTCCCTGGCACCTGGCTCATCTAGAGCTGCTGCTCCTTCCGAGGGTTCCCACAGTCTTATTGGGTAACACCCCAAGCAGCACCAGCACCCCCATGGATGGTAGCCCTCTCTTAACACCCACAGGCTCTCTGTCTTTTTGCCCACCTCCCCCTCTCCACCAAGCAGAAGAGGATCAGGGACCTCAGGCTGCATACCGGAGGTGAGACCAGGGGGCCGGAGGACTCTGAAGTACGACATGCATTCAACTCCAGTAAATGGTCCTTTCCCAAGCTGCCTCTTTGAGGTGTCCTTGCAGGCTCTGGGCAATGGCCAGACACCCTGGGCTCTGTCTTTGCTACCCTCCTGTCACCCTCCTTTATTTCTGTGTTTTAAGAAAGAAAAACTTCTGTCTAATTTAACTTCAGCGGCAGCTGCTATAAACCAAAGGGATCAAATATTCTGCTTTGTCCAAACTTAAAAAAAAGTTAATGGCAGTAAAAGAGAATAAACAAAACTGCAATCAAACCTTCTTTTATTCTAATACCTTGGAAACCTTGGGAGGGAATCTTGAAAGACACTGAAATATCAGTGAAGGAATTTGGAAGGGTGTCTGGTCAGTTGTAGGAGGACCACACAATTATGTTTATTTCGGGCGAGGCAATCATGCTTTAAGTTTTGTAGCAACATCAACCAAAAGGATTGTATATCCCAAGAACCTTCCTTCCTTTTCTCAAAGCGTCTTTGTTAAAGGATGAGCCCCAAACTTTAAGAGTGAGAAATGTCTTTTATCAGAAAAGCAAAACGTTAACAATGCATAGCCCAGTACTGAGCAGTAATTAAAACAAAACAAAACATTTTCAACTTTCTTTTGAATTTTCATTGGAGAACACATTTATACTATTTTTCTGAAAGTCCTAGCTTAATTCTCAACAACGACTAGGATATGCAAGGAGACAGATTTATTAATGAGCACCGCCTCCAAACAGTTCAGTGAGTCTTATCTGATGACGCCTTCTGGTCGACCCTCCAAAGAGGAGGACTTGCAATTGCTGCCCCAGATCCTAAAGTTTAATGGCGGGGTTCCAGGCCTGCTGTACAGTTTTTTAAAAGTACAACATTTTTTTTTGAAATGTGGTCATTTTTCTTTTAACATTAAAAAAAACAACCTTTGGGCTGTTTGAGAATTAGAGAAAGAGAAAACTTAAAGACGGCAGGGTGAACTGATCATTTTAAAAGCATTCTTGGACACTGATGCAAATACCAAATGCTTTGGGGGAGCTCCCTCCCTGCTGATGTGGCAGGGCTGGAAGCAGGCAGTCGTCAGCATGTGGTGGGAGGCCCTGGATCTGGCCTGCACCAGGAAAATGGAGAAAACTGGAGGAGACTTTTTTTTTTTTTAAAGTGGGATGCAGATTCTAATTCCAGAAGTTTTTATGGATAATTTTGGCATTCTTTTTCTCTTACTGGCCACTCATGGGGGACCATAATTATTAAGTATTGGTCTTGAGAGAGGAATTCCCTCACTCTTGTTTTCTGTAAAAGAGAAATTCCTTAAAGCTGTTATTTAGAGCTCTGTTAAATGGGTTGCGCTTTCAAACAAAGAGAAGCTTTCTGTGTGGTTGGGGGTGGGGCGGGGAGAGGGCTGGCCCATTGGTTGAACTGAGTGTCTTGTTGAAGGTGATAATGGCATGTGAGTGGAAGGAGGGGGTGCGAAGTAGGGGCTGAATGGAAGAGGAAAAGAGTGGGTTGAGCGCGGAAAGAAAAAGACAACCGTGGAAAAAAGAAGAGGGAGGAGATCAGAGGCTGCGAGACAGTGAACCCCCTCCTTCCCATTTCCCACTTACCTTCTGAGGGGAAAAGACTAGCTCTCTACAACCAATGGATTGCTGAATGTGAGGGCACCTTAAAAAGAAGGATTTGCACTTCTGATAAAGGGATGCAGCAGCCTTATACTCTCTTGTCGTTTACTCTTACTAAACTTCCTCCTGACACCTCTTCCAAAGAGGATCCACTTTGTGGAAAGCACCTGTTCTAAAACATCTCATTCTAGTTGTTGGGTGTCAGATGATCGCCAAGAAGGTATCACTGATAAGGATGTTGGTACCTGGAAAAGTTTCAGGACTGACTGCTTCCTGGGGTTTGGGAGGCATGAGATTCCTGTCCTTTATCAGACTGATGGAGTCACGCAGTTACTTAACTAAGACCAGATGCGTGCGCTCTCAAGTGATGCTGCTGTACAGCACAGCGCTACGTGGTGGGCATGTCATTGTGTAAGAGAGTAAGATAGGCATTGTCCTGGAGACTCTATAGACTGCTGGAGGATACATGAGACTGTGGCACGTGCTGTGAGAAGGGGTGGCGCTGGGTACTTAATGTGTTTATGGAAAGTTTAGGATGAACACCTGATTTAGATTTAGATGGATGAAGGATTTCTTGGAAATTGAAATCTCTTTGTTCATGAGGATAGTACAGGACCAGAACATTCTGCTGTACATAGGGACATTTTGAGAAAAAATTCACCTCACCACCACCACTAGCACCACAGAAAACTTTTTCAGAAGTTTTATGGTCTTTGTGTTTTATTAACTGTGCTATAGGGAGTGTTTGAATGCTTTTAAGCAGAGCAATTATTTAAACAGAGAATGCTTGTAAAAGATGTCTTGACAGTGTGTCCAGATGACCAGAAGGGAAACACGGAAGAGATAAAGAAAGCAGTTATGTGGTGTAGCACTAATTCTGAGGGGAAATGGTGGTAGAATTCAAGAGAAATCGGTGGGGTTTTTTGAGGTAGGATAAAAGATTCCGATGTTTCGTTGTGGGGAAGGAGGGAGATGGAGAACTTGAAGTTCTGGCTTTGACAACGGACTGTAGGTCTCATCCACAGAGCTGGGGAGCATTTGAGGAGGGGAAAGTTTGGGCGGGAGAAGAGAAGATAAAAAGGTTAATTCTGAGCCTGTTTTGTTCATTTTGGGCTAATTGGGGACCTATCAAATTGGTCTTGTAGATAGTTAGAAATTTAGACGGAAAGCACAAAATCTTCATTTGGCCTAAATTTAGGAATAAAGGAGTGATCAGGTAACTGGTGCCATAAAAGTGGTTGAAGTTGCCCAGTATATATGGAAGTAGGGGCTAGTAGAGCATGCATGCATAGGGGAAGTCCCTGAAGAGCTCTAGCGTGTGAGGAGGGCCCAGAAGCAGAGGAAACCATCAAGGTGAAGAAAGAACGGCCCTAGGAGGGGACGGAAAACCACAGTGGGCTCACCATGAAGCCAAGGGATTCGATGGTTTGGAAGTGAGGGCATGGATTTTGGGGTGCTGACATGTTCAATATTTTTTTCTGAGAGGTCAAATATAGGCTCCAAAGAGCACTTACATCAGTTAACTTGGAGAAAACTGGTGAGCCCCGCAAAAGTGGTTTGAAGGAAATGGAGTCAACTGAGCGTTGAAGATTGCGAGGTGAAGTAATTGAGGTAACAGGCACATCTAGAGGAGAAATTTAGTTAGAGGAATCATAGGGAGAGTGCTAGTCTATAGTTTTAGAACGATGCTAGGATCAGTATGGAGAGGAATAAACATATTTAGAGGAAGAAAGTCTGAAGTCGATGCTTAATTTTAACACCAAACTCCATTTAATTAAAAAGTCTTCCATTGAAATGTTCAAATGTTCCTCTCCTTCTTTAGATTTCTACACCTTTCTTCATTTTGTTTTTGTCTTTGAAACAAGGAGCAGAGATTTTAGGTTTTTAAAAATTTGATAGTCAATGATCTTTTCTCCCCACAAGACTGCCCTTTGAAATGTGTAGACACCGTCCAGTTATC